GTTTTTTATTTCTATCTTTTGACATTGACATATTGAGCTATGAGCCTTGTAATTTATTCAATTTTTTTATGAGGTTATCCTTATCTCGCAAGCTGATAAGGTTAACATGGATTGACTAAATTTTTTTATATTGATTTTTTATTTGGTTTTATCATTTGCCATAAAATTATTGACCTTTGATCGTTGTTATTGTTTTCACCTTTCTTTGTGCAGGGTTATCTTGGGCACAGGATGGTCAAGCATCTTAGCGTCCCCTCCACAAATAAATAACGCGTCTAGCTCAATGTTGGCTTAAGTGGTGCTTGCAACCCTTTGTTTTTGTTTTTCATTCTCTTTTATGTGATTTTTGTATTGGCCTTAAAAAAAAAAGAATCAATCACTAGAGTTTGTTATACTTAAGATTTGATCATTATTTTTTTTATTACAATTTTTTAAAATTTAAAAACAATTATGGAATTAAGGGGTTCTTCTAATTTCACCATTGTTCTCTTTATTAAATTAAGATTTTTTTTTATTTCACCTCTAATAGATATTTTATCTATCAGATTTGGTTTATATTCTTTTCAATGTTTTTTTTGTTATATGGTATTTTCAATTGTTTTTGGCAATTTCATCATTCTTTTTTTCTTTTCTTTTTTTGTCAAATCTACTTTTTTTTATTAATGTATTTTTTTTACCTTTCAAGATTTTTTTAGATTAATTTTTTTTTTATTTCATCATTCAATATTTAATTAGATTAGTGTTAAACTTTTTAATTTAGTTCAAATCTAAAATTTAATGGTTTACAGGTTTAAGAGATTGACTTCGTTTTATTAAGTTGACATGGATATGGGTTTCTGTGGTTTTTTTGCTTTTTTTAAAGCTTTTTTTTCCTATCCTTTACCATTTTTTTTCATTGTTGTTCATTTTTATGAGATTTTTATGGTCAATTTTAAAATAATATGGGTCTCCTTGCTTTTGGGTTTTTGGATCTTTGTTAAATTTAGATTTTTCAAAGGAATTTTATTTGATTTTTTGAATTGAATTGAATTAATTGATTTTATCTTCCAGAATTTAATTTTTTAGGTGTTGGGCTCCTAAGTTGACCCAGATCAAGAATTTAATGGACTGTGAGTTTGAGAGTTTACCCGAGTTTACAAGGTTTGTATCATTTTGACATTTTTTGTTTGATGAAAAAATGGTTGACCCTATTTTTTTTTTATTAAATTAAATTTATTTATTGCATTATTGACATTTAATTTGAAGCAATACTTGAAGGAAGGTTGTTTTTGTTTTTGTTTTTTTTTATGAAAATTAATATTCTTTGTTTATTTATTTTTTTTTTCCTATTAAATTTCCTGGTATTATGTCTCGACTCATAAATTCAACGGGTTTACTAGGTTTGGCTCAACCATTTTTTTATTGGTTTTTAATATCTTTTGATCTCGAGTCAATGATCATATTCTTGGATTTTGTTCTTTTAAAAAAAAATGCATTATCTTAATATCTTTTCTATTATAAAAAAAAATGATAGGCCCGCAGCATTACGCGAGCCACATATCAAATAATGATCTCCGCTTGGTTTTGCTCGTAAGTTTTGACAATTTCACTTGATTTTGCTAGTGTTTTGTTTTTTAATATTTTTTTTCATTGATTTTTTTTCTTTTGATTTTTTCTTTCTATATTTTTTAGTTCTTTTTTTACAGTGTCAAGTTATAGAATTTTTTGTTTCTATTCTTTAAAATCCAATAATAACACTAGAGAAATTTTCAGCCTTTTCAATCGATCCTATCAAGCCTTCAATATATGCAAGCCTTTCTTGAATTGCTTCTATATATAATGACACAACAATCTAAGCCGTACAATTTCAGAAGCAACCACACTTTAATACCACTTGCCACATTGATACATTTTTGTCCATAAAATTCCAATCTCTATATAGTTCTCTTGTCCCTCTAGACTCAATATTTCTTTACTTGTTTGTTTGTGTTGGTCTATAACTATGTGTTTTCCACTTCCTTAAAGGTTTCCACACCTAAACTTTTTACAAACAAGCACAATTAACACAAGCAAAGTAAAGTACACAACAAGATTTACAATAACTCTTTTCCAACCTTTTATTAACTCTTAAAAAAAGAATATAGATAAATTTATATATGTATATCATGCACAAAACTTTCATTAAGCTTACATGTTACATAACAAAGACTTTTAACCTTATTTATAAACAATTTCGTGGAAGTTACAAAATAAAGTTGTCATCAATATTTTTGAGAACATAGTGGAGCATTTTCTCTCCTATATTCTTTATGAACTTAGTAGCCTCATTCCAATAAGTGTCGGGCAATCTCCCTCATTGTCCTATAAACTTAATAACCTTGTAGAGCATCTTTAGTTCACTTCATGTTTGATGACCTATCACTTATGATTTGGACAATCTTTCTTTTAACTAGTTATACTTGAAAACTACCAAAACTTTTCACAACTTTACTGTCACTTTTCCTATAAAATGAATGTCTAACTATCGAGCTCTTCATTCCTGGTTATGTTGTGTTTCATGCATGACTTGGATTATTCAACATTCAAGTCCCTGCTTGCATCAACCAATGCTAGATTTTTATTAATGTTGGTAATTCCACTGACTTGCCAATTTTAATGCTATACAATCAACTATCAATGCCATTATATCTTTCCAACTGTGTTTTTATTAATTTACCCTCGACAAATTTAACCATGTAACAAACCTCTCCAACCAAAAGAACTTGATTTCCTCCTCAAACTAAATATGAAATACATCTCACGAAATATATCTATTATTATAGTTTTGTGTTACATATATCACTCACGAGTCTATTTTGCAAAGCTGGACACTTTTATAGCATCCCTCAAAGATACCATCATTTTCTTTACAACCACATAGAGTTTTAAACACTCACAATAAACCCTTTTAAGTTTACCTAACTCTCCAATCCCTTTATGAAACCTATAAGTATAGAAACAAGCAACCTAATTTTAATGATCAACATCATCTTATGTTGAAGTCTTTTTGGAAAGTCATAAATCTGCACAAGCATACATACAAAATAGCATTCCATCATAAAACTCATCTGACCTAGTCTTGCATCCATTGTTATACCCAATATACTTTATCACAAGACACAAAGTTTTATTAACACTACAACTTTAATGTCCTAATCTTTGTCATATGTTTTGACCACTAAAAATCTAGAATATATTAACCTAAAAAAGACATTAATACTATTTTCTTCACTAAGGTATATCCATTCATCACGATATACAAAACTTTATTTCTGCCTCACTAAAGGTAGTATGATCAAGCTACGTCCTCGTCGATTAGACAAACTTTTCCCATGAATGAATTTTTAACTTATATATGCTATTTCTTCAACATTCTTCTCTACTAAAACAATGTTGAGTTATCCATTTTTTAGACATTCCCTTGCAAAATGATTCCTTTCTTAAATGAAGGATCATAATTTGAGCTTTGATCTGTTATCTTTGACGTTTACTTATAACTTTCCCTTATTAATAGCTTGTTTAGGTTCTCCCCCACTAAATTTCTTCTTTTTTTTTTCATTTTTTCTTTTTAGATTTGGATAAAAATCAAGAAATTCCACCACTTGTTGGCCTTGTCGTTGATTTTTTCTCCTTTTGTTAATGCTTTTATCCTTTCAATTTAACTCTCAAATTAAAAATTTATTATTGCCCTTTAATTTATTTTTTATTTTGATTTTAACCCTTATTATTTTAATTGCTATTTTTATTTTTGGTCATTATTTTTTGATTTCATCCTTCAACATTTAATTTCTTAGAGATTGAGTTTCATGATTTTTCATGTATAACTTTTGATTTGAAAACCCAGGTCATGGATTTGAAAAGTTAATAGGAGTTGACATTTTTTTTTAATTTTTATTTTGAATATCATCATTCGATATTGTTTTTTTTTTCCCTTAAAAAAATACCTTGTAGTTTTCTTCAAAAAAAAAATTTCTATCAAACTATAATGTTCTCGTAACTTAGGACACATGATAGATATGTAATCTAAACATATCTTATGTTCAAGTCACGGGTTTTAGAAATTAGCCTAACTTTGCACAAGACAATATTTTTTTTTTAAAAAATTGTTTTCTTATTATTGTTGTTGCCGCCTTATTTTTTTCCCATCATATTATTAAATTAATTAATATTTAACCTGATTATCAAGTTTCTCTCATTTCTTTAAGAGTATAATCATCTACTAATTTTTATTAGATTAAAATTGATCATTGTCTGACTTGAGGTATTGTGTGGAGCACCAATCTAGTAATTACGCAAGCTTAAATTTGCTTAAAAATAACAATATATTTGTACCATATTCTTTATATAATTTTGTCATAGTAGAGTCATGAAAAAAATCACTTTTAATTAAATTAAACTTTATACTTTTATATTAGTTTGAACTTTTGATAATTGGTTTATCAATATTATAGCACATTCCAAGAAATATTTTTAAAAGATTAGAGGGCATGACCATCTATTATTTTTTCTTAGGGAATCGAATACACATGTAATTAGATGTGATAATAACATATAATATAATTTTGGTGACATGAGCCCAATATTCTTATTTTATGCTATACAAACATAAACGCAATATGAAATCAATTAAGTAAAAAAATTGAAAAGCCAATATGACTATAAATCAAATTATAAGTGTTTTGAACTCATAAGGTTAAGAACGAAAAATAAGTTTGGAGATCAATCTTTAGAAGAAATCATATTAGGTTAGACATTTGCATGAAAACAAAGTATTGCAAAATTCAAACATAAACTAAGGGTAGTATTGAAAACTCTTAAATCACAAGAGTCGAAGCATGAGGTCGATGAAACTAGAAGGGCCAAAATGAACTTTACCCTTTTCATTTGGCCGCTGGGTATCTAGAACCTGACATGCGTGCCCCCCCTTGAAGGCGACGATCGGATATGTCCTTTATTTAATGAGGAATTCATCATAACCGTTGGATCGCGGACTTTTCAACTCTCTTCAACACCGCCAGCCAAAAACACACACACCCAAATCATAATCACGCGCGGTTAAATTCGCCCGCACCCTTTCGTCTTCGATTCTCGAAAGCAGGAGGAACCCAACCCTAACCATTTCCCAAATTCGATTACAGAAATCTGAACCTAATTCATTTTAAATCCACCATGCTGCTCTCTCCAGGGCACTCACCACGCCACCATCTTCAAATCCCGAAAGGACCCTTCAAATCTCCTACAATGTCTCTTCCATCAACAACACCCCGATATATCCTAGAAAACGATCCACAGTTCTCGACGAGGACAGTTATGTGGCCGCTATCGAGAAAATCATCGAGCGCGACTTCTTCCCTGATATCTCGAAGCTCCGTGACCGTTTTGATTGGCTGGAAGCGATGAAAACGGGGGACCCCATCCAAATTCGAGATGCCCAGTTGAAGATTATGGAGCGCGGTTGCAAGATGGTAAAAAATATCCACTCCGATGGCAGCAATCGGGCTAGAAATCAAACCCAAACTCAAACCCCAGGTTCTACTTTTATTGGTAATTTTACTCAATTTGATGAGTTTGATAGCCGAATGCAAACACCTAGCGTTGTTATGGATAGGGGATTATCTAGTATGCAAACACCTAGTGAGAATGAGAATGAGAATGAGAATGAAAATGCTGTTGCTGAGAATTTGGGTTTAGATGATTTTTTTAGGAGATATACGAGTCTATAATGACAGTTTTTCGAAGATATTAGAAAAAGGAATAGGAAAAGGGAAGAGAGATATGGGCATTTCTTAGAAGGTGAAAAGAAGGATGTTAGATTGATTGGGGATGTAAAGAGGGATAGGATCACGGATGGTTTTGGAACCTCCGATCAGCCTCCGAGCACATTGGAGGGGTGGAAGTACATGGCGAAGAATTTGCTAATGTATCATCCGGCAGATAGGGGTGAGGCTCCATTGACCGAGGAGGAATGAGCTGTGAGATTGAAGGGTTTGACTAGAGAAATTAACATGTCTAATACACGTTTTCATAGTAAAATGTTGGATAGTAGGCCAAAAGATGATGGTGTTGTTGAGGTGATTTATACTCCAGTAGTTGGGGCTACTCCACTTCCCATGTATGATAGAGATGGTGATAAGGCGAAGAAGTATGATTTTGAGGATTCAAGGAGGATGCCAGAGAGGCTTTATGTGGAAACAGGGACGAAGGCAGATGATGGGTATAGCTTTGTTAGGACACCCTCACCAGCTTCTGGAGTTGACGAGTCGCCATTTATTACTTGGGGTGAGATTGAAGGGACACCATTGAGGTTGGAACCTGAAGATACTCCTATTGATATTGGCGGCAGCAGCTGCGGCAATGGGCTGCATTTTAAAATTCCCAATCCACCTGCACGGGATGTGAAGGCCCATTCATTATTGATGGAAGCTGCACGGAGGTTGAGGGAGAAGTCAAAGATGTTTCGAAAGCCACCTTTGCCCTCTCCAAGTAGAGGGGGAAGTGCTAGTCCAAGTGTATGGACACTTTCTCCTGCTGTGCTGAAGTTTGTGAGGAATGCAATTTCTAGGTCTTTGTCATCTGTAGATGAAACCCTCCGTGCCAGTTTTAGAGGGGCAAGCCCTGGAGTTGGTACTCCTAAGAGTGGAAGGAGCATCTCGAGGTTTGGAAGAGATGGGAGCATGGGTTCCAGGTCACCTTCTGTAAGGGAGAATTCTAATCCTCCTTGGTAAACTGTAATATTTTTGTTAATGCTCTAAGCTGGCAAGCATTTGTTTAGTGGCATAATTTATTAGCTCTTATGATACCTTTTGTTTTTGAGGAAACATGTACCATTGTCTTTTGGAGGAAACATGCACCATTGCCGCTGTTTTCCTTTTTCCTCTGTTCGTGTATGACTTGTTAGCTTAATGAGTTTGAGGATGGCAGAAAACAAAGAATTATTTGACGTGCAATTAAGATTTCTTGCAGACACCTAAGTGGATTCACATTTTGGATCAACTTATTATTCTAGTTATTTTGTTGTTTGATAGAGGCCAGTACATCACATTTTCAAGTTTACTTTTCACTCATTGGAGTTTTAGTACTTAGCAAACATGGTTCTGCAGATGATAAATTTAGAAATCGACCCCACCGTCAATCCACTGCAGTGCTTAATGTTTACAAACTAATAAAATTCTTAGGAGCCTGTCTTTGTGCGCCATCATTGAGATGCTAATATTTCGGTTGGCATTACTTATTCCAGTGGGATCCGGAGGCAATGCACTTTCCTGGTGACCAAGGGCTAGTCCACTGTCATGTTAAGGTTCAGTTCAGACAACATGCTGCTTTCAATCTAAGCAGCATCGCCATGATGCTGTCCTTCTTCCAGAAAGTTAAGATTTTGTTGGACAAGCAGCATCAAGTAGCAGAGAGGGATAGTGAGATTCAATGTCTCGGTTCCAGGGCAATGGGCAAGCACGGGTAACCCATGAAGGAGGGGTAATTGAACATGTTTGGTTCCATGTTCCAGCCCCGTTGCTTTTTACTGATAGGAAAACAAAGCTCGAAGAGGTCTAGAGTCATCATGAATGTAAAATAAATCACAACACGGGTGTCATATGTGCCGCCATCGGTTTAATTTGCTTTTCCGCTGGATAGCTAGCATTGCCAGCTCTCTGATCCGGCCAATAATTGATGTTTTTGATCTTTTTTTCCCCTGCGAGAGGTGTGGTTACTCTAAAAAATTCCAGCATGGATGTGTGATTTTTTTTTATTTAATTTTTTATTTTTTATTTTCAAATTGTTTATTTAAAATAATTTATAAAAACAAACAAAATATTATTTTAATATATTTTTAAACAAAAATCATCTAAAAATTTAACCAATATCGTATTTTTAAACACTTTTTCACATAGAGAAATTAGATTAATTAGTGAGAAAAACTTAATATTTTAAATTTATTTTCATCTATATTTACTTGCAATTATTTTGTAAAGAGGCAAATACAGGTTAATGTCTTGCTAAGAATAATAACAATAAAAATATTATTATATTGTGGTTTCATTGACGTGGCCAATTTGCTATGTAAAACGTGGACTCTTGCTCATGTCAATAAGAAGTCATAGCTCGGCGACGTTGAATAGTCGAAACAAGAGTTAAGAACGACGTCGTTGACAAGAAAAACTGATACCCCGCGTAAACCGCTTTGCGGGTATAAGTATCTGAAGCATCTTCTCGGCCTCTCCCCGCCTCCCTCCGTGTTTGATTCCTGTCACGACGAACTCAAGCAAGGTACTCTATCTAATCTCGCTCACTGAGTCACCCACCCTCTCTAACTTGCATTCCATGTATTATCAGCAGCAGCAGAAGCGCCTATTGAATTCAATCTCATGCATGTTCGTTTATTTTTGCTGTTTCCACCCAAACCTTAGTTTGATTTAATGATTATTAATTAATTAATTGGCTTGGTCTTTGAAGATGCCGGCGGCAAGAAGCAGTATATCTGAGAGAGACGATGAACCTTTCGTGGAGGTTGATCCGACCGGTCGGTTCGGACGGTACAATGATTTGCTAGGTGCAGGTGCAGTGAAGAAGGTATACAGGGCATTCGACCAACACGAAGGGATTGAGGTGGCTTGGAATCAGGTGCGGTTAAGAAATTTTATAGAGGATCCTGTGCTCATCAATCGGCTTCACTCCGAGGTTCGGTTACTCAGAACATTGAAGAACAAGTACATCATTGTTTGTTATAGTGTTTGGTTGGATGAAGAGGATAGGTCCCTCAATTTTATTACTGAGGTTTGTACTTCTGGGAACTTGAGGGATTACAGGAAGAAACATCGCCATGTGTCTTTGAAAGCTTTGAAGAAGTGGTCTAAGCAAGTTCTTGAGGGGCTGGAATTTCTTCATACGCATGATCCTTGTGTCATTCATAGAGACTTGAATTGCAGTAACATATTCGTCAATGGAAACAGTGGTCAGGTATTTAATTTCTTTTTAAATTGTGTTTCGGATTCTTTTCGTTGAGGTTATTGAGTTTTTGTTATATCTTATCTGTGAAAGTTAATTAGATGTGTGCAAGCTAGGCCTTTTAAGACTAGTATAAATTCTGCCTATCAGGTGAAAATTGGGGATCTGGGGTTTGCAACAATAGTGGGGAAAAGCCATACTGCACATTCGATACTAGGCACCCCAGAGTTTATGGCACCGGAACTCTATGAAGAAGATTACACTGAAATGGTGGACATTTACTCTTTCGGAATGTGTTTGCTTGAAATGGTGACGATGGAGATACCATACAGTGAATGTGATAATGTTGCCAAGATATACAAGAAGGTTACCTCTGGAGTAAAGCCTCAAGCTTTGAACAAGGTGGTTGATCCCGAAGTCAAGGCTTTTATATTGAAGTGTATAGCTGAGCCAAGAGCAAGACCTTCAGCTTCCGATCTTCTCAAGGACACCTTCTTTGCTGAGGTCAATGACGATGAAACTGTACCAGCCACCGCTTGATGACATTTCAGGTGAACCATGTGCCTTCAGTTAGCCATTAACTCCCGTCTAATCATGAGTTTCGGCCTAAGGTGGAGCTTGAAACAATCTGTATCTATCTCTCCATTTTCTTCTTGATGTTTGATGTAGCCAAGCAGTTCCAGGTTGAATTGAAAGCAACAATTGTAGTGGTTTCTGTTTACATGGGTTAAACCATTCTGGTAACTGGCTTTCATTGTAAATCTTCTGTGCTAACTACGTACCAAGAATGATTTGCAGTCAATTTTCTTATTTTTATATCCTGAGAACACTGTACTATCTGCAGTCTGCAGAATAATGTCTGACCAAATAAATCCATTCAACCTGTCGTTAGTGGCAAGTATTTGAGCTCTGATTCGATGGAGGGATAAACCAGTCGTGAAATCTAACAGAACAACGATACCAATTCTTAAAATCTTGCCAATCTGCTAATGGGTTTGGAGGATGAATGGCTGGAAAATGTTATCCGTTGCTCATTGAAAAGCAATGAAGGGGAGAGCTCTCGCTATTGAGTTAAAAAGACTCCCAAGCATAGTTGCTTAATTGACTTTGATATTAAGCCATGGTAGTGTAAATCAGCGACAATCTAAACTAAAAGAGGACGACGATCTTTACGCATGTAAAACAAAATGAAGAATTCATGGCTTGATATATACTTAAGGATCCGAGCTGCACGAGGAGCTTGTTTCAACAAGAAGCAACCGGTGCATAAACCGAAATGATCATACAGTCGTTCTCTTCAGCGTGTACGCTCGCACAGGCACTCTATCTACGAGTATGGCCATGGGTATTTGCAATATTATGAGCCTTTAGTGAAACTAGACTAGTGGGCTCTTGGTGTGTATATTGTCAAATTGTAGAAAAAATGACTTTGGGGATTGAGATTGACCGGAGGAGAGCAGGCAAGCAAAACCCCTCAACCCAAAGCACCCTAATTTTCAGAAGCCGTGCCGTCTAGGGAGTTGGCATAGAATGGTATGAAGAAGTAAACAAAACAAACTTCTTCCGCACTTCATCCCTCCTTTTGACCAGAGTTTATTCACCTCATCAATTCCCCCTTTTCTACTTCCCAACACGCTCTTGACCCTTCTCATTTCTCCACACTCATATATATATATATATATATGAAAATATATTATAATTATGAAGAATTTTTTTTGATATTATTATTGAATCAATAAGTGATTTAATTTTAAAACCTGTCCATCTGAATTCTTATTTAATTTAAGTTTTCAATTAAATTATGTGGAAGCTGATTCAAAATAAATTTTTTAATTTAATAAATTTAAAAATAACTTGAATAATTAATAAAAATATGATATATTTTTTTTAAAAAAGTTTAAAATATTTTTTTGATTGAGACGATACCATATTAAATTGATCTTGAATACCTTGCAATCTGTATTATGAACTTAAATAAGTTTAATAATTTGTTTTTGTAAATTATTTTTGTTTAATTTTATGATAATATTATATGCTTTTAAAATCGAGTATCAATCTTAAAAAAAATATTTATTTGAAATTATGATAACTTTATGGAAAGCAAAAAAAAATCATGAATTTCATTTTTCAACCAATCTAAATATTAAATAAAAATATATTTATTTGAGATTATGATAACTTTATGGAAAGTAAAAAAAAAATCATGAATTTCATTTTTTAACCAATCTAAATATTAAATAAAAGTGAAAGAAAAAAGATAATTAGAAAAATTAAAAGATTAGAAAATAAAAAAAAATACATATTAGGTTTGTAGCTCACGCACTAAACCTGTGAATTGGGTAACCAAGTTAACATGTCAAACCCATAAACTGGGTAATGGACTCCATCAAGTTTAATAAGTTGTTTTGTTTTTTACACTATTGTTTATTTAATTATATGATAAAGAAATAAATGATCGCAAAATTGAACGTTAAATCAATACTGATACTTTTTTTTAAAGATTAGTCCAATATAAAAGGATCAAATAAAAAAAATAAATTTATAAAAAGAAAAGAAAAGAAAAGTTAAACTTGTCATATTCATTAACAAGTCCTTGAATTTTCTAAAATTTAATAACATTTTAAATTTTTTTTTTAACTATACAATAAAAAAAAGACAATTATATAATCAAGTTTAATTAGAAAAAAAGTACTTTGTTAAACCTGCAAATCGAGACAACCAGAGTTACCTTGCTAAACTCATAAATCAGGTCATTGACTCCATAAAGTTTATCAATCTAAATTTTTAAAATTTTTTTAATTATTTTTTTAAAATACTAACTCGATACTGAAATATTTTTTTGAATATGCAAAAGCCATATAATAAAAAAATTAAAATAAATTATTAACTTTAAACCTTATAAACATATCATGGAAAAATTAAATTAAAAAAATAATAACAAAAAATAAAAAAATAATATTAAT